CTTTCAAATGGTTGAAAACTCAATTTTGGTAACAGAGAATGTGAATAAACCTCCAGCAAGGAGGTGAGCAAATCAAATGGCTGCTACATAAATAAGTAAATATTCCAAATAAGTTCAAAGCACAGCCGAGCTTTGATTTGGTAGCAGCTGAAACCCTTGGAGGTGACAGAGCACAAGGTGACAGTTTGGCTATAAAAGGTTGAGAAATGCTGCTCTGAGGCATCCCCAAACTGTGCCTCTGTCTGGAGCCTGTACAGAGGGACTGATGGAAATGCTGCAGCCTCTGTGATGTGCAGCAACCACTGACCCTGCTGCCCTGGGAATGCAGGATCCTGAGGGGAAGCCTGGATGGAGAACTTGAGTCAGTCCTGGCTGGATTTCACCTGAGGGAATGGACATCCAAACCCAAGAGCCCCACGGGAGGGTCCTGCAAGCTGGAACTGCCCATTCTCAGCACTTTGGGAGGGCTCTGGAGCAGCTCCCCATGGCCAGGCTGTCACCCCAGCCCAAGAGAAGAACCAGGTGCTGTAAGAACAAGGACATGGGACAGGTTTGTGTGGCTCCTGAGGGGACACCTCCAATCCAATCCGAGTCTCCAGCTCTGGTGGCACAGAGCAGCTCTGGAAGCTCCTCAGGTGTGGAGCTGAGCCCTCACCTGTGTGGCAGACGGAGAATTCCTTTGGGGCTCCGACAGCTTTTCGGGCAGCAAAGCCCCGTTGGTCTGCACAGCGTGGTCAGGGTGCAAGGGCTGAGTGCTCTCCTACTGCCATTCCCACCTGAGAGGGGTTTAACAGGTTCTTTTTAGCGTTTCTGTGAAATGATTTGTGAATTGCTGTGCAATCAGTGACTCTGCCAGGGCAGCGACTGCAGGTCGGTGCCTGGAGGGATGCAAGGCCATGTTTTTCCAGTCCTCAGGGCTCACTCTGAGATGTATTTTGATGGTTTCTCAGAGTGCCCAGGTGCTGTTCTCCAGCAGGATGAGCAGAGAGATCGAGGGCAGAGCTCTTAAATCACTGCAGCCACTTCCTTGAGCACCCACTGGCTGACTCAGTGGGATTTCCTGAGGCACTCACAGGCCTGGAGTGTTTAAACAACTGACAGGAACAAAAACTCTTAAGAAATGCAGAGATCTCGATTTTCCAGCCCTCCTCTCTGCTGTTGGGCCATTGCCTCTCACTCAGTCCTGCTGACAGAGAAGCAGACGTGTATTTGCATGTGTTTGCATAAATTTTCATGCATCTGAGCACAGGCCAGTAAAAGGCTGTGCTGTCTCACTTGGAAAGATGTTACAAGGAGGCCTGAATGGAGTGAGAACTGTATCAGTGAGTTAGTACCGAGTGTCAGGCAAAATGATGGATAAAATATCTATTTCTGGAACCTGCCAGCAGCAGAACTGTCATGCTGTGAGCAGCACGTGGCACGTGAAAATGTAAAAAGCTTTTCGCCACCTAGAAATGTCTGTGAGGTGACTGAAGTCCTTTGGCAGCACTTGAAAAAAAAAAATACAGGAGCTTTCTTTCCTGGAGTGGCTTTTCTCTTTATTATGTCATCTGTTGGGTGTTTCATACACAGCAGTGTCAGTGGGAGTCTGGAATCATCACCATCTCCAGATTATCAGGGAAAAGATCCTTTTAGGGGAGGAATGTGGCTCCATTAAAGCCTCAGGCTGGCAGCTGGTGCTGCTGGGAGCTGATGGATGAGGTTTGCAGTGGGAAAAGCCCGTGACAGCCCTGGGATTCCTTCTGTCTGTGCTCAGCTTCCCAAAGCTCAGCCAGCAGAGGCCTGCTCTGAAAGCAGCCACAATCCACAAGCTGCTCCTGTTGGCTTTGGACTGGAGCCACCAGACTGTTGGAAGCTGCTGCTTCCCCCTGTGTGTAAAACAATTTCCCTTTTCCCTTTCCCAATTCCTGGCCTGGCTGTGAAGAAAATCACTTTTAAAGCTCAAACCTATCCTGAGTGTCTTCTCTGCTGGGGTGAATTTCACAGATTTAAGCAGTTCACAGCTCACCCCTCAATTTTTTATTGCTCTTTCAGGGGCAATGTAACTTCTCTAAGCTCAGCATTGCTGGCTGTGTGTGATATCCCTTTATTTGCACAGTTTATCTCTTCCTACCTGTGGCTTTGGATAAGTTGCTAATAACAAAGGCTCGTTATCACCAAACAAACGTTCTGAAGTGGCACCATAAAAAAGCTGTCAGTCGGTTGGCAAGGGAAACTTTTAGATCAAATTCTCTGGAAGAAAAGCTGAAAATAAGAACCTTTTCTCTGTAACTGTGGGTGACTTCTGGAGTTATTCATGGCTTTGTCAGCACGAGATGATCCTCGGGTTTGTGTTCATAAAGGCAGTCAGGGCTTCACCTGGCAGGGACAGCCTTTCAGTAGAGCCAGCTCTCTTTTAGGTATTTCCTTTAACTCCTTTTTATTTTTGGGAGGGATAAAGGAGGGAAATAATACATTTCTCACAGCCAGAAAACACACAATCAACCTTTGAATGGCTCCTCTGTTGTGTTTTTTTTTTCCCTTTCTTGTGTCAACAAGGCCTTGTGTCAACATCCAGCAAGCTTTTACTTGTCCTGAGTGTGTCCCTTGGGGCTGTTGACAGGGAGGTGGGGACAGCATCTCCAACATGTTTCCAGTCTGGCACGGGGGGATTGCAAAACCACTGGAGAAGGAGCAGCAGGGAAAGAGGAAGAGGCTGCAAGGGATGGAAACGGTGCTGCTTATGTGATGGAAGTTGATAAAACCTGGAGATTTTGCAGTGTAGGAACATTTTTCTGGAAATATCTTTGTGTCCTCCACTGAGGAGGGTTGTTTTTGCCTGGATCAGGGCATCAAGGATGGGATTTGGGGTGGTTTCAGTGCTGACATTGTTATGTGGCTGTGCCCAGCAGTGGGATCAGGGATGGGCACAACCACAGCCCTTGCACAGAGCAGTGCTGGGGAGGAACCACACCACAGTCTATTGATAAGTGTGCAATCTGCCAATAACCTATCAGAATTACACATCCGCCTCATCTGGAGGTCAGAGATATCTTGTCAGACTCCAACACTCGCCCTCCTTGCTGTGCACGCTTAGGCTGCTACATTAAGACGTGCTAATGAGTGCTCTTAAACCCTTATTTACCATTTTATGGTGCCCTTTTACTCCCTGTCAGCATCTCCCTGGCTCTGCTAAGCTCAGGCCAACCCTGCCAGACCATGGGGAGGATGTGGGCACCCCATTTCCTCTAGAAGCCTCAAATTTCTTGCCTCAGCCTTATGTCCTGGCTCTTTCTGGTTGCTGATAAGGGGCTTTGACGTGTGCCTCGAGGTGTGCAGGCAGCAGCAGCTGGCACTGGGTGAGCTCTGGGGCAGAATTTCAGCCCTTCAGTGCCTCAAAAATCTCACTCAGGGGATGAAGCAGCTGCCAGCACTACTAAAATGAAACTTGGTGGGGTGTCCCTGCACTGGGGTGCACACCTTTAACTGCTGCAAAGTTACAGCTCTTTATAATTTATATAATAACATATATATTTTTTGCTGTGACCTCATGGATTTATCACTTGGGTCAATGCTGAGATTAATCAGGGGAGAAGGGGAGGTGTTATTTGAAGGTGGCAAAATATTTTTAAAGCATGTGTTGGAAAAAACCCCCAAACTCACTACCTTATTTTTCTTACCTTATTTTCTTATTATTTTCTTTTCTTCTTTTCTTATTATTTTTTTATCTTTCCTTACTGGAAAGATTTTCACTTCAGTGTGGAAGTGTCTGGACGAGATGAGAAAACAGCTGGAGAGAATTCATATTTCTCTCCACAGGTGTAGTTATTTTCTTTTTTGTTTTTTTTTTGGGGTTTTTTTTTTGTGGAATTTAATATGGAGAGATGTTTCTTTCTTTCTTTCTTTCTTTCTTTCTTTCTTTCTTTCTTTCTTTCTTTCTTTCTTTCTTTCTTTCTTTCTTTCTTTCTCTGTCTTTCTTTCTTTCTCTTTCTTTCTTTCTTTCTTTCTTTCTTTCTTTCTTTCTTTCTTTCTTTCTTTCTTTCTTTCTTTCTTTCTTTCTTTCTTTCTTTCTTTCTTTCTTTCTTTCTTTCTTGTCTGGGTGCTCAGCTGAGAAACTGAGTCTGCCTCACCAAGAGAAGGCAAAATCTTAGGAAGGCCTGGGTTTATGCAAGAAACAGGAAATCCTCAGGTATTACAATTTCCCTACTATCTACTTTTTTAAAAAATAAATCATTTAGCTCCTGTTCAGCTGATTATGCTGAAAACCTTTTATCAACAGCCCAAACTCGACCAAGGGCTGCCAAACTACATCAGCCTCTCGGTGAAATTCTGTCTCCACATTTAAGCTGGTGCTGAGCAGCAGCCACAGAAGTTTGGCTCTGGATTTTACCTCTGAGGGGATGTGGGCTAAAGCCTGGGCTGGTGTGGCAAACAGCAGCTTTCCTTTTCTGCCAGAGCCACTGGGAAATGTCACCAGGGCAGCCAGAGGTGGGGAGCTGCAGATCCAGCTCAGAGCTGGTGTTCAGAGTGCACACACTCTGGGAAAAGCTGGATTAAAAATGGGCTTTGTATCTGCTGGAAAGGGTGAGTGAGACCTTTCTTGAACAGGCTGCTCAAAATCTCATCCTCACCTCTGTGAGAGCAGGGGCAGCAGCCTGGATCAACAGCAGGAGAGAAAAACACTCTTTAACACATGAAAAATGACCAGGCTTCAGCATTTGCACCAAGTGATTTATTTGTATCAAAAAGAGCTGGTTTAATGACAAGTGTTTGATAAGGCAGCTTCAGATTTATTTAAAAAACAGCAACAACGAAAATAAAACCAGGGAAAAAACCCCACCAAACCACCACAACAACAACAAAACACCCCTGACCCGAGATTAATGTAGTGACAGCATCGTGTAAAAAAACGTGTAAGTAGTGAAGAATAAACTGGACTCTGTTAGGCAGCAGAACTTTGCATAGTTCATGGGCAATTTAATCTGCTTTGGATAGAGTGGATGTGTGAAACCACAGTCCCATTAGCTGTAGCAAATGTCACAGCTCCTGTCCCTCCTGAGGAAGTCCTCGGCCAGGGCTGGCAGGAGTTCCAGGCAGTCCGTGCTGGGGCAGGGGAAGCAGTGCTGGCCCCTGCTGTCCATGGTCTGGGGGCCGCAGGCTGTGCAGCAGCAGGCTGGGCTGGGGAAGGGGCAGGGGGGGTGGCAGGGCCACTCCTCCACGGGACAGCTGTGGGGTTTGGTGTCCAGAGCTGAGGGCGGGCTGGGGGGCAGCGGGGTCAGGGGGGAGAGCTGAGGGGGAGAGCAGCTGGAGTTCCATGGGCTGGGCAGGTCGGCTGAGCTGGGAGAGCTGGCAGCCTGGAGTTTGAGAGAGAGGGGAAAAGAAAAAGGGAAAAAAATGAGATTTCAGGGAAATGTGGCCAGCAGCCAGAATCTCTCAGCCGTTCTCAGAGGGGTCTGGCTGCCCAGGGAGATCTTGGAGGTCTAAACCCAAAGGCAGTTTCTGTAAGGTATCCCTACAGAAATCCCTAAATCCCTAGCAGGAACTGTGCTGCTATTTGCAGAAAATCTACAGGACCTCTAGAAGAGACATTCCCCATCCTGCAGCCCCACCCAGTGTATTTGGGGCTCCCCATGGGAAAGCATTCAGAGCCCATGAGCATCCCAGGTTCCTAAAAGCAGCCAGATTCCCACACTGCCGCTGTTCTGCCCCAGGATGTGACTCCCTTTCCCTTTGGGGACACCTGTGGCTGCTCCCCTGGGTCCCAAAGCTCACCAGGCCCTGGCTGAAGCAGAGCTGGACTGGCTGGAAGGTGTCTGGGGTGTAGTGTGAGGAGGGCTGCAGGGCACTGAAGGCTGGCTCCGAGGGTGGCTCCTGGAGGCAGGAATCTATCAGCTGCTCCAGGTACCCAGGGCTTTCCTCACAGGAAAGGCAGCTGGAAAACTGCCAGGACGGGCAGCAGCTGGGCACAGGAGGGATGGGTTCTGCTTCAAAAGGTTCTAGGAGAGAAAGGAAAGCAGCCAGCAGCAAATTAATCAGTGTCTGTCTTCACAGAGGGCAGGTGCTGCCCCAGGCCAGGTTTCAGTGCTCTCCTGTGCTCGGTAACCCTGTGAATTTAGACATTAAAACAGGCCCTTCAAGGGCAAGGTGAATTTTGTAGGAAAGCAGAAGCCAGGAGGGAGATGCACAAAAGCACATGAATAACTCAGGGAATCCAGCCCCCCTCAGCTATAAAGATCTTTAAATGCTGGAAACCCTTCTGGCCCCAGGCATTTTGGACAGGGATCCAGCTGGAAATTCCCCTCAGACTCTTGACCTGCTGGCCCCAGAAGATGCCAGGCAGTGATTTCTGCTTCCCAGCCTGGCAGATGTGCCTTTGCACATCCCCAGACCCAGGGCAGCTACACCTGCAGGAAAAAGGGCATAACAGGAGGATAATTTGCTTTTTCTCTCCTGCAAACAGCCAGGCAGGAGACAAACTTGTGAGCAGAACAAATGGAGCAAGCCAGGGATGATGTGGCACTGTGACCACGTCCTGTTACTGGCCAAAGGGTGAGTTCCTGGAAAGCTCACAGCAGATCTGGCTTTTCAGAATTATTATCTTTTCACACTGAGTTCAAACATGGTTTAAGCCCTGTCCACGTGAAGGGCACAGGTCTGAAGTGCACATTGCAGGGTCAAAGGTGGCAGTGTTTAGCTGGCTGTGGGGAGTGAGAAACACCCAAAATACATAAACTGATGGAGACTTTCCAGCCTGAAAAGGCTTTGGCATGTCAGCTGTGGCATGTCTCACGTTTCTTTGTTAACATAAGCAAATGGATTCCCAGCTATCGATGAGTTAACAATTTCCTTGTCCATGCAATGTGTGCTCTCACACCTGCCCAGCCTTTCCTCTGTGCTTTGGCTGGGGATAATTGAAGGATCTGTGAGCCCAAAGTGCCCCTCCCCTCACCCCTTCCCCCTTTTCCTTGGATATTCGCAGGCAGGAGGAGGAAACTCTTGGTGGTGTTGAAAATCTGGTATTTCTCTCACTCCTATGGGTGCCGGCAGGAGAGGGGGAAGAGAACAGAACTCAGCCAGGTGCTCCAGGGCACTCTGACCCTCAGTGGCACCCACAGCCTGGGGAAGGTGATGTTATTCCCTAGGGATGAGCACCCCTTCCCGAAGGGGATGCAATTCCTTGGGAAGAATAACCTCTAGGAAGGAGTGCGCTCCTGAGCTCCTCATCTGCATCCCACGGGCTGCTTGCGGTGCTGATTTGCCACACCACGGGTGGTGCCAGCCTCAAACAAGGGCTGGGAAGGCTCGGGGCTGTGGGAAAATTTGGGAATGGGGCAGGAAGGGTCGTGTGGATGGGATTTGTACCAACCTGGGTGAGGCGGAGACACGGACTCTGCAAACTGGATGCCGCTGCTGCTGCCCCAGGAAACCTGAGCGAAGAGAAGGGAAAGAGAGGAGCTGTGGCACAGAGCAAGGTGAGTCGAACAAACTCTTGAAATAAACCTTATTTCCCTCATAGCTGTGGCTGGGGAAACCTCCCCAGCACTGACAGAACATGAGATTAATGTGCGTAACACCATTTTTCCAGGTGACAGCGCTGGGAACCAGAGCACTGAGCTGGTGTGAAGCCCCTGAACCTGAGGGGCTCTTTTTGCTGCATTCCCGATTCTACGGAGCTGACGCTGAAAGGAATGCGTGTTAATTTCGGGAGCGTGAATTCCACAGTGGAGGGAATCCCAAGGAATTCGTAGGGATGGATATTACTGAGAGTGAGTAATTAACTAAAGACCACTGCAGGTATCCCATCAGACTGGATTGATGCCGTTTGAGAGCCAGCTCTGGCAGTGCTCCTTGGAAAGGGACAGCTTCATTTTTTAAGGAATGTTGGAAGCTGAAGCAAGACAGATCAACCACTTCTAGGAACCTGACCTGCTGGAAGGGAGAAATCTACCCCAAAAGCAACAGGAGTTTTGATGCTTGAAGGCCAGGATTTTACTCTGCAAGTACAAATACTGTTGGATTTTTTTCCCCCCATTTTAGTTCATACAGCCCTTCCTTCATTCAAGATGCTCTCGAGTGAGCAGCTCATTTCCCTGGCAACAACTTCCTAGCACATCCCGTGCATTTAATTCCTTAAACAGTGGCTCTTCTGGGCTGAGAGTGCCTTTTTCCCCTGGTGCAGATGTGACAAGGCAGACAGAGATGGAGTCGCCAGGCTGAGCTTTTCCCAGCGCCCATCATGCCAGCCTGAAGCCTCGGGGGTTTTGGGGCAGGCCATACCTTGTGCAGGTCACCGAGGTGACTTCCCTCACTGCCACTTTTCACTTTTTCCTCTGTGGGCACCACAGGGGTTGTGTCAAGTGATTGTGGGAAGTGAAAACCGGTTCCACGCAGCCCTGGGACACCTGGCTGGGATGAAGAGGCTGCTGCTGGTGGGGAGGAGTGACCCAGCGTTTCCAAAACCTGACAATTCTCTTCACCCAGACCTCTCTGCCCCTGGCTCCCTGGCTGATTTTTGTGCAATCAGCTGCAACAAGGTGCAGAGGCTGAAATCTGAAAGGCTTCAAGAGCTGCAAAGTCATGAACCAGGAAGAAATAATGATTTGCCAAGCTCTTTATGCAAATCCCTGGAGTGGCTGGAGCTGGAGGAATCCTACAAAGGCTGGAAGAGGGAATGAGGGGGAATGTGCATGTGTTTGTGCACACAGAGCTCCATCCCCTCCTCCAGAAGGGATGGGGCTGCCCAGGTGAACCTTCCATCCCAGAGGGAGTGACTTTTTTGGAGCAGCAGCTCTGTTTTCTCCCTGCATTCCTCAGATTCTCACTCCTTAAGGACACTGCTGCAGCTACTCTGGCTGAATGTTCTTTTCCCCCATCCTCACCAGCCAGTTACACTCAGATTTTGTCCCAGAGATTACAGTCTTGGCAAAAAAAAAAAAAAAAACAACACATTAAAAGAGAAGGTACAAAGCAAACACCACAATATTTTTACTCACTGCTGAACTGGTGGCTGCTTGTCGTGCTCTCCTCTGCTGCAGCAACTCCTTGACTGTGATCTTCACCCTCACACCTTGGTACACCTTGGGCTTTCCTGGAAGAATTTGTGGAAGAACACTTTGCAAGGAGGGAGAATCTCGGGGCAGACAGCAAATCCAGCAGGTTTTCAGTTAGAGGACAATTAGACCTAACATGACTAATTGGTCTCTGTTTCCAATCACACCCACAGCCCCCTTTAACACCTTCTATTCCAGCTTGGGACAAGCAGACACTCATGAAAATCTTGCTGTTGATAATATTTAATAACCACATGTTTTATTCTTCTCTATCTCCTTCTTCCCCCTGCCCCCCTTCCAGCTTTCCCAATACCAAGCTCCAGCCTGCCCAATACCAAGCTCCATCTGGTGCTGCTGTTGGATTCATTTAAATTCCTGACATATTTGCCTCTCTCAGGACCTGAAAATAAATGTGGGAAGTGCTTCATCTGGCAGATGAAGCCCAGGAATAAAACAATGGCAATATGTGGGTGGTTATTCAGAGAACTAAACAAAACACCAATAAAACGACTGCTTTCTTGCAAAGCCTACATTATCTCTTTATTCTACTCGTGTACAAGCCCTATTTATTTCAAACAAGAATTTAGGGTGTGTTTAATCTAGCCAAAACCAATGAGTCACTACCTGATGAGGGATTTTTAGGACAGGAAATGATAAAGAATTTACTTCTTCTGAAAAACCACTTTCACTTGTTGAACTCATGGTAAAACACTCAGATCCTCTGGCAGTTTTTTCTGTCCTAACTTTCTGCTGGTGTTTTAATCCAAATCACACAATAAAAGGAAACACACCCAGACTGGCCTCTGCACTCAAAAAGTCCCAGAGCAGGGAGCAGACAGCCCTGAAGGAGGCACCAAAAATAAACTCCCAGCAGGGGAACAGCAGTGCCAGAGCAAAACCCGGCCTTCCAGTGCCACCTCTGGACACGGAACACCTTCTCCAAGGCGGCTGCACAGTGCCAGGAGATGCTGGCACAAAAACAACACTGGCTTTGCAGGTTCTGCCCACACAGCCAGGGAATCCTGCACTGCAGGCACTGTCCTCTTCTGCTGTGACCTCTGCCAGCCCTCCCTGTGCCCCCGTGGTGCTCTGGGTGGGGACAAGCTGTGACAGGTCCCTCCAGAGAGGTGACAGGGCTGAGCTAATCTCATGAACGTGAGTTCATCTCACGTTTTGGTGTTTTGTTTCTGTTCCATAAACTAAAGATGGGGAAAATGAGGGGAGGGAAGGGTGGGATTTAAGGAGAACATGCCGGTTACCAGACCCTGCGGCCAGGGAGGGCTCTGAGGTAGCAGCCTCTTCTAGCAGGGTCAAGGATGGGATGGTGAGGGTGGGCAGGGAGCAGGGATGGCTCTGGGCTCAGGGTGACAGGGCTGGCAAGGGTGGGCACAAGGTGACCAGGGCAGGTGGGCAATCAGGAGCAGGGTGACAAGGACAGGCAGGGCTGGGGTTGGGGTGGAAGGCGCAGGGTGGTGAGGGTGGTCTGGGGGGCAAGGGCAGGGTGCTGGGATCCAGGGGCAGAGTGATGGTGCTGAGGGTGGGCTGGGAGTAGGGTGACAGGGACAGGGGGTGGACTCGGGGTCGGGGAGTGGGGTTGGGATTCAGGAGCAGCACGGCCGGGGGCAGAGTGTGCGGGGAGGGCACCCAGAGATGTGGGAAGGGCACCCAGAGATGCAGAGAGGGCACCCAGAGGTGCGGGGAGGGCACCCGGAGCTGCGGGGTCCCCTGTCACCCCCCGGGCGGGGGTCGCAGCACATCCAGCCCGGCGGGAGCGCCGCTCGGTGCCCGCGGAGCCCCGTGCCGAGCCGGGCAGCAGCCGATCCTTCCCTGCCTCCTCCCTCCCTCCTCCCCGCCCTCCCCGCTCCCTCCTGCCTTGGCAGGCGGGATCGCCCGGCTGGCGAGGTGTCCCCGGCGAACCCCGAAAGCGCCCCGGAGCGGGGTGTCGGGGGCCGGCGGGGGGACAGAGCGGGGCTTACCGGACATCCCGAGCCGGAGCGGGCAGCACCTCCGCAGGTGCCCGGAGCAGCAGCAGAGGTGGCCCCGGCCCCGGCCCCACAAGCTGCCCAAGGGGGCCAGAGGAGTCAGGCTCGAAATTTGGGGCGGAAGGGACCTGCCTGCCTGGTGGCAATGGCAGGTGGATCCCGACAATATTATTGTTTTATCCCTACGGGTATAAGTTTGAGTTTTTCTCTCCTAATGCCAAGTATTTAAAACCTCTAGAAACCAATGATTTGACAATCAATGATTGCGCGATACTTTCAATTTGAATATTCAAAGGCTCCACAAAATGGGCTATCTTTTTGTGAAACTGAGCACATCCCCATCTAGCAGAGGGTCTGGGGGAATAGGATTTGGTGGGGTCACCCTCCCCACCCTTTGCTTTTGGGACATTTGCAGGGTTTTATCCATCTTTCCCTGAATGAAGCAGATGCCTCCAAACCAGCTCAGTGTTTTTCCCTCAGATGCACAGGCTGGGCTCCAGCCCTCTCATATTTCATTTGCTACCTGCACTGAGCACTCTGCAAGGGTCTGTTTTGCTTTTTGCACATTTTTTCACGTTTTAAGGCTAAATTCTGAGGGTTTGGGGCCAAAATGGCAGCGGGCAGGTGTGGCCTAACAAAGAGGCTGCCCTGGGCACCCACATGGCTGAAGTTACCTGAACCCCCCTTCTTCCCACAGCATTCCCTCCCTCTGCCTGGATGCTGGGCTCACACTGGAGTTTATTTGTGTTTTCCCCCAGTTCAGGCTGTTTGTCTATGCTGCACAAATCAGCCTTTTCCTCACAAGCCTCAGTGCTGGCCTGCCCTGGGAGCTGCAGGCATGGGGTTCAGTGTGTGGCTCAGACTTTTGGGGTGACCATCCCTTCACAGCACTGCTGTACCTGGTTTTTTAGGCTGCCTTTAAGCTTTTCCCTGGGGACCACAGCCTCTGCCACGGGCAGAGGGAGTCAAGACAGAGAGCAGGCCAGGCTGTTAATCATCTACCAGCAGCTCAGGCTGGCTGTTGTCACGGCCGAATCTTTTCTTTTCCTTTAAGTTGAACAAATAACACTTGATTTCTGCGGGGAGTGAGGCCATTCCTGGCTCTGAAATGTGCCCCTGCAGCTCCTGGTAGGCCAAGCCTTGTCTGGGACAGCTTTATAGGGACACATCCCAGCAGGAGAGGAGCCCACCTGGCCCGGAGCACAAAGGAATGTGCTGGGCGGGGAAAGGGGGCTCACCAAGGAATTTGGGATCTGAGACCTTGCCCCTACTTGGGCTGCTCCCTCCTGGAGCTGCTGTGGGTGCTGCAGCCCGGGCAGGCTGCAGGGATGATGTTTAGCCTGGAAAGCAGAGAGCAGAGCCTGCAGGCTGCCCAGCTCCAGCCCTGGAAGAGCTGGATGCCTTTGGGAAACACCAGACAGCTGAGTTCTGGCTGTGCTCAGGGCTTCACAGCATTTCCAGGCTGATAAAAACCCCTGCCTGAGTGGGTCAAACACTTTCAAGGCAGCTCAAAACCCTGTTCCTGCTTCTCCCTGAGAGCCTGATGGCAGCACAGCCACAGCAGCCTGGTGGCCCTGCTCACAGCAGCCCCTGGCAGAAGGAATAGCTGTGGTGGTCACTGGGATTCAGCCTGGCCGTGCTGCCAGCTCTGGAGCCGAGCTGGACTCAGGTTTGGGAGCGGCAGGGCTGGCTGTGGGGCCGGGAGAGCTGCACACACCCTGAAGTGATCGGGGAACAGCTCTGGATGGGCAGGGGCCACCCCAGGAGGCTCCACACCTGCCACTCGTGGGAGCAGAAGGTGCTGGGAAGGCTTCAAAGGCCCCACCAGCCCCAGGATTTGGGGAGAAAAAGCAAGGAGGGATTTAAGGCGTCTCATCCCTCCACACTGCCAGGGGCTGGAATGCTCCAGAGCCTCTTGTTCCTGGTGCTGTGGGTGCCAGGCTTGGGGGCGAGCTGGGGCAAAGGGGGTGAGCTCCTCCCTGGGACAAAGCAGCCGGGATGTGCTGCCTCGGTCAGGGCTCCCCCAGATCGGTGTGTTCGTGTGTGCAGAGCTACCTCTAGTGGCCACGGGCCCCGGAGAGTGCCCGGGGCTGGAACTCCGGGCAGGGAGGGGGCTCCGCGCTCCTGCAGGACAGAAGGGATGGAGGGGAGGGGGCTTGGGAGCTCTGCAGGTGGCCGCGGTGGCCACCTCGGGCTCGGGTCAGCAGCCAGGGCAGTGCCCGCACCCTAAAGAACCTCCGAACCATTACGGCTGGAAAAAGCCCTCTGAGAAGGGACCCTTGTTGGTAGGAAAAACCTGCGGTGCGCAGACATTTTTCAGGCTGGGTGTTTTACTTGTGGCACGGTGGGACAGGGGGAAATGCCTTTCACAAGGCACCACTCTGAGCTAATTGTGGCGTGTCCAATGATTGCATTTCTAACCAGAGCACAAAGCATCACGTTTGAAGGAGCAGTTTAGGAAAGAGCTTCAATAATTCAGTAATTCAAAACCTGCTTCAATAATGGTCTGTTTATCTTTCCTCCAGCTCTTCTCTCTCCTCAATAAGTTCTCCTGCCTTCATAAGTCTCCCAGAGGGCACTTCCATCCTCTTTAGCCCATGCAGAGTGGTCGGGAAGGTGTGGTGGCTCCGAGGGCTGCTCCGGGCACAGGTGGCTCATCCTGGAGGGCTCGTTGGCCACGGCCATGAACGGGGACAAGCTGTAGGGCGAGCTGGCAGCGTAGCTGGGCGAGTAGTGGACGTCTTCAAGGGGGTGCAGAGGGTAGGGCTGGGCTCCAGGGATGGCTGGGCTCCAACTTGAGCCTCGGAATGGGGAAACACCTCCGGATTCGGGCAGGGACAGGCAGCTGGAGCTGGCAGGGAGCGCCTGCAGAGGGTCGGAGCAGGCACTGTCAGACTGGCTGAGGCTCTCGGGTGAGGTCTGCTCCCAGGGCTCTCTCTGCAGGGAAACAGGGAGAGAAGGCAAGGAAAACCCTTAGGAACAAAAGGCTGTCCTGGAGGTAATGGAATATCCACCCCTGGGAACGCCCAAAGGGTTTCTGTGGCTCTGGAGCGGTGTTTGGTGTTCTAACTGTGCAAGGAAACATCCACCCTGTCAGCAGTGGGCAGGGCCTGCATCAGTAGGGCTGACCAGCCCTGATCCTGCGGGATCCAGGAGCTCTGTGGTGGGGCTGTGAGTGGAGCTGGCACCTGGGATAGGGACAGACAACAGCCTGCAGTCACCAAAGGCTGTTTCTAGAAACTCAGGGAGGGAGAGTTTCATAAAATCATGGAACAAGTAACCCGAGTTGGAGGGACCCACCAGGATCATTAAATCCTGGCCCTGCACAGGACACCCCAGCAATCCCACCCTGTGCCTGGGAGCAGGGTCCAGCTCAGGGCAGAGTGGGCTGTCTCCAAGGATGTCTCCAACAGGAAGAGGGAACAATCAGATGGAACCAAAGAGAAAAATCTTCCCCCAGAGCCCTTGCCCACCTGCCATGGCTGCTCCTGTGACAGCCACATCCTTCCCCCCGTGACTGAAACCCATATTTAAATGGGGTGACCTTGCCCTGGGGCACAGAACGATGAGCCACTCACGAGCAGGAAGGGCCCCGTGTCGCTGGGGAACGATGGCAGGAGAGGAGGCACAGCCGGAGGGTTGAAGAAGGAGCTGGTGCCAGCTGGGAGAGGAGGAGCACGGTGATCCCCGAACTGCTCGCTGAGATAGGGCTCCAGGAGTGCTGGGTAGCCCTGGGGGGAAGAGGAGTCACAGGAGAAGGGCTTGGAGCCCAGAGGGGAGGAGTAGACATCACTGACAAACTGCTTGGTGCTGTGGAAATCCAGCTCGGCTGGGAAGGATCTGCGGATGCCGTAGAAACCAGGCGGGGTGGGTGAGCCTGGGGGCCAGAAAAAAAGGTGGGAAACTGTAAAGAAAATTCCACCAGCTGCCACAGAACCATGGGCACCTCTGGGGGTGCAAAGCAGAGTCCTTTTCTCTCCAGCATCACCCAGGAATCCATCCTGCCTGGACACAGGTGCGTGAGCCCAGAGGTGCCTTTGGTTCCATCTGGTGAGCTCCATCTGCAGCAAACCAAAAGTGTTTGGGAAGCTTTAAATAGGAGGGCAGGGAGATCGAGGTCAGCTCAGCTAGGCTGTGCTTCTTCCTTGCTCTGCTACAGCCCCTGGGGAGGAGGCTCCAGCCTCACTCCGCTTTCCCTGCCCGAGAGCTCAAGGGATAAAACAGGTCAGCTCCTGATTTTGTGCTTTCCCTCTCCAGCTCCAGGGAAAATGGGAAAACGCAGGAGGAAAAGGAGGGATTCTGTATGGCTCCTCTGCTAGAAGAGGTGGGAACTGCTTTAATTACTCTCTTTGAGGATTTTATATGAAATTATTCATGTCTTTTTTGGATTCTTTTAATTACTTTCCTCCTGGGCTGTCTCTGAGGGGTGGCCCCGCTCCGGGGCTTGTTTCAGATCCTGTGCAGGAGAGCAGACAGGGCTGTGCCAGCCCTCCCACCCACATGGGAGGTGTTTATCAGCGGAGGGAAAACCTCACCTGGCATTTGGCCAAAGGGTGACTGCGCCGCGCTGGTGCTGCCCTGCAAAAGATAAAGAGATGTTTGAAAAAATGCCTTTCCAAAGCAAGGCAGCTCTCTGAGTGTAATTCACGTGCATTGTTTGAGCCTGGGAAGGGTTTAACTCCATGATTTCCTCGGAGGTATTAACAGATGTAGGCTAAGCAGAGATTTTGACGGTTTTGTGCAGAGCTGATAAGAGGAGGAGGAGTATCAAGATAAGTGGCTTCTTCCTCCTGTCCCACAGGGTCCCTCAAAGCAGGCAGGATGCTGAGGAGTCCTTCTGGTGTTGGCACAAACCAGGCAAGGTGAGATCTGAGCCCCTGAGTGGCCAAAATGGGCAGATTCCAGCCCATGTTCCAGCTCAGCTGTGCTGGGTCTGCTGCCCCAGAGCTGCTTTACCTGGCAGCACAAGCTGGGTGGAAAGAGAGTTCCTAGATCCTATTTGGATCCTACAGCTATGGTTATGATAATAATAACATTGTTATTAATCATCATCCTCTCCTCTTGGTTCCCAGGTAAAGGAGAATTACCCCTGGAGTGACCCTGATGCTCCCTGTGCTTAATTCCTTACAAAGCACCCTGGCAAAGGCATCTGCTCCTCTGGGATCCCACTGAGTCCTGGTTTTGGGAGCTCCAAGCCCCCAGATCAGGAATGCAGAGCCCCCAGCTGTGTTGCTGTCAGCTCTGCTGTCCCCCGGCCACTGCTGGTGGCACACTCTGTCCAGTTTGCATAGTGCAAACAGGAGGTTCCTGCCATAGCAGGCAACCAAATTCAGAGGTTTAGATTTGAATTAAATTTGCCAGCTCTGAGGACTTCCTTCTGCTGAGGGAAGGGTTGCAGCTGCTCCGAGCTCCACCATGGAAATGAGCTCTGAGCCTGCCCAGGCCACGGGGGCTGCAGAGGTGACAGGAGGTGACAGGAGGTGTCAGGAAGGAGCCCCTGGGCTTGTGGACAGCGTTGGTGTCACACAGGCAGGGCTTGCACCTGTCCCCAGTCAGAGCCATCACATGCAAATCCAGGTCCTCTCTCAGCACCCAGGTCCCAGATGCTGCCCAGAGGACGAGGAGCTGCAGTGATGGGAGCTGGGATGCTCTGCTGGAGGGACTGGAAGGTCCCTGGGCACAGCTGGCAGCCTCCAGCAGGGATCATTTCCAATTACCAGAGCATTTAATCTTTGATCCTGTCTGTTCAACAGCCACTGGAACTGCCTGGCTGTGTGTACACACCTGTGGTGGAGAGTCCCAGAGGTGCCAGGAGCTGCCAGGGCTTTACCTGCCCGAATTGGGGTGCAGGAGTCTCTGCTGCAGCCCAGCCTTGGCCTCATCAGAGCAGAGCCCTGCATTTCATTCCCTTCCTTGCTCCTTATTTGCTTTAATTGAGACCCATTAGTTCATTTCCTTCCTTTCCCTGCCATGGGAACGGGCAGCCTGGATCTCCTGCAGGTCTGTTCAGCCTCCCTGGGGCCCACAGTGTGTCCAGCTGTTGATAAGCTTGGCCTCAGCCTGCCCTGCCCATGGCCAGGCACAGATCCTGGCTGGGATTTCTCCAGAGAGCTCTGCTGCTTCACTGCCTCTTAATTCACCTATAAATCTGCCTAAATTTAAGGATCCAGCTCAAGACCTGGCCCTGCCCTTTGGCAGTGCTTTGGCTTCAGGGCATCACCTCTCTGGGCTCAGCCTGTAGTGGAGCAGCTGAAGGAATAAAAGTTCTCCAGGGAAGCTGAGCCTGGGCTGGGCACTGCTGAATGTGTCCCTGGTCTGGGAGTGCTGCTGTTCACTCAGCAATGGATTCTCTTTAAACCACAGCGTTGCAGTGCTTCACCTGTGCAGGTGTCCACTTCCACACCTCAGAGAAGACAGGAACCCGTTCACCCTGCAGAGAACAGCTCCAGGTTCATCCCTGTGCAAAGGAAAAGCCAGAGCCTCCCTAAAGCCCAGGGCAGAGTCCCCGATTTTGTGGGGGTTTCCTCACACTCTGATTTCCCATCACTCGATGTCTGCAGGGCCTGGCTGTCAGGAAATTGTTGAAATTGTTGAAACCTCATCCCAAAGCTCTGCTCTGCTGAGCACTGACCTTCCCTGCTCAGCACAGGCCTCCTCCAGAGGCCTCCCCTGGCACCAACAACAGGGCCGAGGGATTTTTTTGTTTTGTTTTTCTGGAGCAAAGATCACCCTCAAACAAAAGATTCAGCTGAATTACCCTGCATCATCAACAGCCAGAGGGGTGTTCAGTTATCTGCCCCTGGCTTTGATTCTGGGTTATATTCTGCCAGACAAACAGAGCTGCGCTTCCAGCTGCTCTTTTCATGATACGTCCGAGCAAATACGGATGTTTGCCCTGCACAATCATTTTTTGTCTCTCGCAGGGAATGAGCAGCAGGGCTGGTTTTGCGTCACACAGAAACGCACAACTGCTGGGCCCTGCAGCACGAAGCCAAGGGCAATAAAAGCAAGGAGGATTTTACAGTTCCAGTGGGTTTCCTTTGTGGCTGTTGAAGCTGCCGCCTCCAGAGAGGGAGCAGGTAAATGGTGATATCATCAACAGGAGCTGTTTTCTCAGCTGCTTCCCGCTGCTCCCCAAAAAACTCATCCTAAATGTCTGCCTGCTGGGAGTGTGTCCTCCACAGTGACTCTCCATGGCTCATGGGGCTTCTGCCTTCCTGCAGCAGCTGGAGCCTGTGGGGTTGGATCTGTGGCTGGATTTTGCTGGGTTTGGTGATTCCCAATCCTGGTTTGGTTTTTTTTTCCCTGCCTGTTTTGTTGCACAGGGTCAATGGGCCTGAAAGTCACAGCGAGAAAAACACTTGCAAGTAAGTCCCTGTGAGGCCTCTTCAGCCGGAGGCAAATGAGTTTTGGGGGAAAAAAGCATCAGAACTCCCAATTTGTGTGTCCTGCTGCCAGTGATGTGGGGCTCTGCTCCTTCTCTCTCCTTCCAGGACACAGTTCCAGCTCCCCCTCCTCTGCCAGTGTCCCAGAGCTCCCAGCCAGCCTGGAAGGGAGGAGCTGCTGCCCAGCAAAGGTGAGTGCCAGGAGCAGCCAGGGAAGGATTTGTTGTGCCACTGGATGCCACCACGTCCCAGCATCACAATATCATGTCCCCTTCTGGGGACAGCCTCGCTTTTCTGGCTGGCAATTGAGAAATAAAACAATGTAGTGTAGTAGGACTTGGGTTTCCTGTTGCCATAGAACCACTTTAAGAGGAAATCATCTCTTCCAAGCTGATGCTTGGCCTCTTTCCAGCCCATCACATCCCTGCAGCTCCCCTGGCACTGCGAGAGGAGCTGGAAGGAGCTCAGCATTCAGGGAAGAGCAGCTATTTTCAGGGCACTGACTTGTCCAAGTGCAGCTTGGAAAAGGAAGTTGACTTGGGAAGGTGTCACACGTAGGATGTGAAAGGAGAAAGGAATTTAACATCATTGCCATGATTTAAAAAGGAATTTGAGGCATTTAAGGTTGACAGATATAAAAACCGAGGATCCATCAGTGATGTTTTGGGGCAAGCGTTAGTGTTGCAAATGTTTTTGCTGTTCTGTTAACAGTGGCAGTGCCCCGAACGCTCTTTAAAGCAGAGAATGGGATGTCGTGACTTGATGGGGTTAAAAAAGGGGGTGGGGGGACGGGACTCACGCTGAACCGGGAGCCGCTGCTCTGCCGGGATCGCTTTTCAGCCAGGAGATCCTTGACCGTGTGTTTCACTCGCACTCCTTGGTACACCCGTTTGCCAAAATCTGCAGGGGCTGAGGGAATGCAGAGTTCAGGGAAAGCACAGAGCAGCTGCAAGAAGCAAATTCATCACCTCTGTGCATCGAGTCGGGGAGGAAAAATAGAAATCTGCAATTATTAATAGAAAATCATCCCTTAGGAGCCCGACAGTGAGAGCAGAGGAAAGGCTGATGTGTCCTATCCTTTCCCTGCAGATCCCTCCCTGCCTGGTGGTTTCGGGCTTTTGTTTTTCCAAAGGGAACCCCACATTTCCCCTTTGGGTCAGCAGATGTCTGTTTAACTGCTGATTTCAGCAGAGGGGTTCAGCCCTTGTGGAGCTGCTGGCTCTCCCAGCACAGCTCTGATCCCATGGAAATGCCTTGGATGGATGGAGTGGCTCCTCTGAACCTCCATAGGAGAAAGGAGCTGCCTGCTCAGCCTGTTTTTAATTCATAGCAAACACAGGCAAGTGCCTGGGGGCTCTGTTTTCATCCCGGTTTTTGGGAAGGCACAAAGTGTCCCTGCCATGGCACCTGGAGGGTTTGGGCCTGTTTTTTTGCCCTGGAAAACAGCTGGGAGGCATCTGCCCTCTCCCTGTCCTGGACTGAATTCTGGGAGATGCTGAGCACAGAGGTTTTGGCACAGATGGAGAGCTGAGGGACAATGACAGGGACAACTCTTTTATCCTGGCCTGAACACAGAGCTCGCACCTGTGGAGCCAGGGAGGAGTTTCCACACGGGCTTTTATTGAATTATCCCGGAAAAAAATCTCCCTAACTTTGAAGCTAATCCCTTGGAAAACATACAGCCACGCTCTCCTGAGGGAGAACAAACTGCCAGTGCACAGATGATGTGTTTGATCTCTAGGATTTATCATTTTGGCTCTTCTCCTCTTCAGGATGTGTCCCTTGGCTCCGTTTCTGGTGGCATTTTGGCCCCAGGTGCGCACACAAGGGGAGATGAGAGGGTTTAAACAACAGAGGTTTAAACAACAGAGGTTTAAACAACACACTGCTGGCTTGGCCTTGCCCCAGATAGGTGTTTTGGGGTTTTTTTTGAGTAATAGCAGCTGCAAATTTGGGCAAGTGGAATTTTGTTTTGGTGTTTGAGTGCTGACCAGAGAGCTCCAGCCAAGGCCAGGCACAAAGCAAACACAAAGCAAGGGAGAGATTCCCAAAAATGAGGTGAGGATGAGAGTCTCGTAGCAAAAAGCAACAGAAGTGGCCAGAAATGGACATCAGCTCTCACAGGCAGAGCAATTCCAGCAGGTCTGATGCTCTGCAGGTGTTTTCCTGACACCTTTCCTGTGGTCTAAAGGCATTAGGAAAGCACTTCCATGCCCCTCTGCTTTTACACTCTGTTCTGTGCTCTTGAAATCACTTCACTCACATCCTCAGTCATTCCTCCACCAAAATTGCTTTAATTAAGCAACTCTCAGCCCTCTAACCCTGGTCTGAAGTTATCACACCACTGAGCCTGCTGCTCCCAGTGAATTATCCAGAGGCATCTGATGCAGAGCTGTCAAAACTTCAGAAAAAAAAAAAAACAAACCAAAAAAACAACTAAAAACTTCTGCCACTGGCAGCACTGGGGAAGAAAATGCTAATTCAGGCCTGAGTTTATATCATTTCCAAGCAAATTGAATCCAATTTCACATCACTTTGATCTAACTGCCTTTTGAGAAAAAAAAAAAAAGAAATTTAAAAAAATTGTACTGTGAAGGAATATAAATTCAGTCTGGAGAAGGCAGAACATGCTAATTGATACTATTAAATTCTTGGGACATTTAAGATGTCACATGTCTATTTTAGACAATTTTTCTGTGTTTTTTTTTTTCAATAGGAGCCCAAGGACATCACAGTTTGTTCCTTCCCTGATATTGCCATGAATATGTCTCAACTTGTGAAAATCTGAGCTGCTGGAACTCACCTGTTTCCATTGTTGGTGCTGCTGATGAGTCCCAGCTCCCGAATCCTGCAGGGATTTGGGGAAGATCTGTCCCTCATGAGCTTCCCAGAGCAGAGTGAAGCCTATGCTCATAATTCCCTGGGAAACTTCCAGCTGAGCCTGGAGGAAATGGGTTTTCTAGAGTTTAGGGATGTCTCTAGCACCATACCTCGCTTGGGATTTGCTTAAATGCAAATCCCTGGGTCTGTGTTTCACTCCACTTTGCATGGTCAGTGTGGGTCCTTCCCCAGGAGCCTCCTTCCTGTCTGAGCTGGCATTTCATGGATGAAAACCAGAGGTTTGTGGACAGAAAAACCTCGGGGTGAAGTGCAAGGCTGGCAAGCCTTGCAGGGAGGAACCATTTCCTCACAGGTGAGGAATCTGGCAGGAAAAACAAGCCTTGGGATGAGCATCTTCTCCTGTGGGAGTGTGAGATCCTCACGAGCTGCTGAAGGCCTCACTTGGGCAGGAATTCTGCCTTTCTGAGACCCCACAGGCTGCTCTGGGCTTTCCACAACTCAAACTGTGCTTGGGAACCTGGGAGGGGGTCCCAGATCCATGAGAGGGATGGGCAGGAGCATCCCTGGGTTTGGCTCCCTGTTACCAACTGAGGAGAGGGAACAGCAGCCAGAAAAGGAGCTCCTGACCCAGATTTAAGGTTCTGGTGGCCAGAACTGCCATGGCCACTCCTCTGTGGGCAGCAAGACGTGATTGTGCAATGTCCTGATGCTTAAACAAAGAATCCAGACAAAATTCAGAGAATAAAAAGCAGATCTATTTATTGAAGGACCATCAGGTACATTTAGGGCAGACAAAGCCCCCACATGTCACAAGTTTTGACACTTTTCTAAGTTTGGTCTGTTTGCACATTGGGGTTAATCTCCCAATTCCAGCTTCAGGGAATGAAGGAATTTCCCCCAAGTTTGCTGCCCCCAACTCCCTTTTGTTTCCATCTCTCAGGCCTGAGGCAGTGAGGTGTCCTTGATTGCCAGGCCTGGAGAGGAATTGTTGTGTCTGCCCAAAGTGGGGAAGCAGCAGCTCCCAGTGTGTGTGGAGTTTGGAGTTCCACACTGAGGAATGGCAGGATTACAGATGTATGACAAACAGAAAAGCTAAAATCCTAAGGCATCAATCTGAACCAAGGAATTAAAGCCTTTAAAACCACTGAAATCCTGCTTTGAGGCTGGATTCGCTGTTGGCCTTTTCCCTGCAGCATGGCAGGCACAGAGGATCTCTGGGCTGTGCAGCAGGCCTCGTGCAGCGTTGCTGTGCTCGTCTGGCAGGGGCAGGAGCAGCCTGGCGCCGGGATGCTGCTCCTAATTAAATCTCTCTCCTGGTGGAGTCTGCTGCCAGCTCGCGGGGCCATTAGGTAAAATCCTGCCCTCCTGCTCCTTCCATGAGCTCTCCCCAGAGCTGGCCTGGAGATTAATTCGGCCTCTCACATGGCCTGCCTTCCTGGGGAAGGGTTGTTTTTTTCTTAAAGTGTAATTATTTTTTAAGTGTAATTATTCATTCCCTTCTGAGGAAACGATAAAGTACCAAGAGCAGCAGCAGCAGCTGGCCAAGGCAGATCTGGAACAACATCCCGAGTAATTCCCAGTTTTTTTAACCTGGAGAACCACTCAGGTTCTCTGCCTGCTCAGGACAGGGAGGACACCGCACCATGAACACTCAAACCCCTGTGTGCAGAATCTTTCCCAATGTGTGGATGGATTTCTATCTAAAAACATCTCTCTTTTTGGCCCTTCCATTCTTTTCCAGCCCTTCCAGGTGTCTGGGATTTGGCTGGCAGGTGCCAGAAGGGGCAGGAAGCACCAGGTGGGCTGGGGCAGATGGAAAGTGGCACAAAAAGGAGTTGGTTTTGCTCTGTCAGCACTGGGCTGCGTTTGCCAGCTGCCTCCTGGCACCCTGGGCTGGATATTGTTGTACTTTGGTGAGGATATTCAGGTTAAATCCCAGCCTCATTCCGTGTCTGCTCAATCCAGGTGTTTTCTGTGCTGACTGCAAAGCAATGACATTGAAAACGACCAAACAGAGAGAAAACAAAAGCTCGGCCAGGTTTCTTTGAGATGAAAACCTCTTACTCGGTGTTTTCTTTTCAGAAATCATCAAACCCACAGATCACACCCGGATTTTCTGGATAGTTTGGTGGATTTGGGCACATGTTTTCCATTCACATCGGGGCAGAGCTGGAGTGTGTGGTGGGATTTGCAGAAGCCATTGTGTGCTGGCACGACACGCTCTGGGCACGTTCTGTACAGCCCCTTTTAAAAAGGGGTTTCAAGCCTTTAAAACCCTTTTTAAAAGGCATTTACCTGTGCCAAAGCAAACTTTGGGAATTGTGATTATGCTTTGTGTACCAAAGAGCCTGGGACAGCAGATGGGACAGTCAGCATGTGTTAATTGAGTCCACTGATGAAGGAGCAGAGAGAATTTGTTGCATTATCTCCCAGCAAAGAGCTGCAGAACAGCTGGGTTCAGTGTTGGCCAGGATGGATTTTCAGTGTGAGGACTCTTGTTTGTTAAGCAAGGAATTGTTCTGGAAGCACCAACAACTTGGAGCCATGGAATGGTTTGGGTTGGAAGGTTAAAGCCCATCCTGTTCCACACTCCATGGGCAGGGACGCCTTCTACTATCTCAGGTTGCTCCAATCCCCGCCCAACACCTTGGACACTTCCAGGGATGGGGCAGCCACGGCTTCTTTTCAGAGAAGAGCGCTCCCGGCTCCTGGGAGAGGCTTTTCCCGAAGCCGATCTGGAACTCATGCCGAGGCCCTACAGAACGTGGGAACCTGTGTGGCACAGCGCTGCTTCCCGGCGGGGCGGCGCGGCCGGCGCGCGCAGCCAGCGGCTTCCTGCGCGGTGATTGGCGGCCGGCCGGGCCCGGTCCGCCGCGTTCCGGGTCCCCCGCGGGGCAGAGGCGGGCGGAGGGGCGGCGGGGCGGGGGTCGCGGCCCCGCTCTCCCCGAACCGCGCGGGTCCCGCCGGGCTCGGGGCCGGTTCCGGGCGGCGACGGGAGCTCTGGGCGGCCCTGCGCAACGCCGGCCATGCCGCCCGCCCGTGCCGGCGGTAAGGGAGCCGTGGTGCTGCAGTGCGAGTGGCAGCAGTGCTCCTTCGTGGCCTCGGGGATGGAGGAGTTCTGCGGGCACGTGGCGCAGCACCTGCAGGAGCACCTCCCTGGCGAGCACCGCGACGAGGTGGACCCGCTGGGTGAGGCGCTGGGGAAAAGGAGGCTCAGCGGGGCCCTGCACAAGTCCCTGACAGGAGGGGCAGCCCGGGGAGGGTCGGGCTCTGCTCCCAGGGAGCAACGCAGGACATGGAAAATATCGTCAAGTTGTGCCGGGGGACGTTCAGCTTGGACATTTCTTCATGGAAAGGGCGGTCAGGCCTTGGCAGGGGCTGCCCAGGGAGGTTTGGAGTGCCCGTCCCTGGAGGTGCCCAAGGAAGTCCAAGAGGTGACACTCAGAGCTCTGGGCTGGGGACAAGGTGGGGATCAGGCACAGCTGGGACTCACTGATCTTGGAGGGTTTCTCCAACCTAAACCACTGATTTTTCTGACAAGTGACAGCTTCTGGCCTTTTTTCTCCTCTCCCTGAGTAGAGCAGGGCTGCAGGGCTGGGACCTCAGGAGAACGCGCCTGGTGTTTGTCCACCTGCAACACTTGAGCTTTACCTGGAGAGTAAAGCGACTTGGAGAGCAGAATTGCCTGAGAGAGCCTTGGAGCTGTGTTTCTGTGTTGCAGAGGAGTGCTTTGTTTGTGTTCCAGAGGAATTCACGTGCCTGTGGCAGGACTGTGGCTTCTGCTCCCCGGAGAGCTCGGCCAGCCTGGTGCGCCACGTCTACTTCCACTGCTACCACACCAAGCTCAAGCAGTGGGGGCTGAGGGCCCTGCAGAGCCAGGCAGACGTCAGCCACTGCCAGCTGGACTTCCAGAGCCGGAATATCATCCCTGAGATCCAGGAGAACTTCCTGTGTCTCTGGGAGTACTGTGAGGTGAGAGCGGGGTGCTCAGTGGGAAAGAGGAGGTGCTGCTGTGCTGCAGATCTCCTGCACTCCTGCACAGCTGCACCGCTGCTGGCTCTGCCTGGAGCTGTGTGGGAGCATCTGGGCTTGTTTTGGTCTCTTTCACTCTGTCCCTGTTCCCCTCAGAGGTCGTTTGACAACCCCGAGTGGTTCTACCGGCACGTGGAGGATCACAGCTTCTGCTCCGAGTACAAGGCAGCAGGGAAGGAGAACCACGTGGTGCTCTGCGGCTGGAAAGGTTTGTGGGAGCCTGCAGGGCCTCTCCAGAGAGGTGGCAAATGTGGTACAAGGGAACAGGAGTCAGAGAGCCCCTTGAGCTTCACAAATAGGTGTGCGTGGTTTTAACCGTGAAACATTCCCGCAAAACTTCCTTCAGGGAATCCAGCTGAGTGCTTAGTACAAAACTTCCTATTTATATGTAATCCTTGTAAGTACCTTGGAGAAAAGGCTACAGCTGATTTATTTTTTATTTGGATTTTTTAAATTAATTTCTCCCGTGTTTGTCTAATTACCTTGTCTGCTTGGGGGGACCACACTGGTTGCACTGGGGAGATCTCCCCCTGCTCTGTGGCGATTTTGGAGCCTTGCTGGCCAAAACAGGACGAAGAAGCTGCTATTCTGTGTCCCGTGGGAGGGCTCTCAGCTCTGCTGTCCTTCCCCAGATTGCAACTGCAGTTTCAAGGGCCGCTGCAAGCTGCGGGAGCACCTGCGCAGCCACACGCAGGAGAAGGTGGTGGCCTGTCCCACCTGTGGGGGGATGTTTGCCAACAACACCAAGTTCTTCGACCACATCCGCCGCCAGAGCGCCCTGGACCGTAAGCCCTGGGGGCAGGGAGGGGCTGGGGGGTTCTGGGCTGGGTATTTGAGTTGCTGGAGCTGCCAAAGGGAGGGTGTGCTTGGAACAGCCTGGCTTCTCTGCTGGCTGATGGGAGCCACGGAATTCCGTGTTTAGAATAATTTAGATTGGAAA